GGTGGTGATTCCGGTGGTGGTGATTGCAGTGGATGTTGATTTCGTGTTTGAAAAACGTCATGAGATTATCAACACTGTGCCTAAACACGTTGTACTGACTTGATAGTGAGAAGATAATAGAAGTTACAGAACACGCAGAAGTCAGAAGTCCCTTGATGTTGACATGATCAGAATAAAGTTTGTCAGCAATTTACGCTTAATATAATTATAGTGAAATGCAAACATTATGTCACACGTAGTTAAAACAAACAAATTGACGTCCAAGTGTTGCAGAGTCGTATATACAATTTAATGTGCGTTCACTATTGACTTCAAAATGTTGTTTTTAAATAATATATTTGTTTATAATAAAAGTTTTTTAATGCATGGTTTCGGTAAGTTTGTGTTTCGAATAGGTTAGGAATCTTAATGTTAGTTTTGCTTTCACGGCAGTTAAAATTGGCTTGTGGTCTTGTAAACTACGACGTCGTAAGTTGTAGTCTTGTAGGTGGTTACCAACGTCCCCTTAACCCAAACGACCACATTTAGGATACTTTTAGTCCGCCTTCACGTGTTTTTGTTGTCATTCATTGCGACCCATTCAGAAACTCTAATATGCCTGCCGTTTGCATTCTGATGATTTTATGCGTACATACGAAAGCTCTTGTGTTACCTGTTATGCACCATTCATTTATATTTGCCGACATTCATTCATTTGCATACCGAAAACTTTTCTAATTGCATAGTCCTTGGCCTTCTTTGGAAACTGTAGTTAAGAAATAATCCTCACATCTTCGCCCAAGTTTATCAAATTTTTTCTTCCCTTAAGTGTTTCCGACCACCATTCTGTATACAATTATTACTTCCCAGTCAATGTTATCTGGTTCTCTTATATCTTTTAATTTATTTATTCACAATTATATCATTTACATTTCACAAATTATGAAGCTCCTCATAATGTAATTGTCTCCATCCTTCTGATTCTTTATCAACGAATTGTTAGCATTGCTACTTCGTATTCTGGAAGTACCTCTTCCAGATCTCAGCCCAGAGATAGGCTATCCTGACAGGATTTTCGTAGTTTTCCTCAGGTCTCCAGGGAAATTCTGCTATAGTACCTCAAATTAGGCCACAACCGCTTCCTTCCACATCCTCTCCATTTCATTATTCAATAGTCATTTTATCATACGGCTCTATGTAGTCCGAGCTAATGATAGCGTATTTAAATAAACCACAAATTAAAGAGAAAGATAAATTGTCTTCCTTTCCCTTTCTTGGGTCACCATAATATTCTCCTCTGTGCTCAGCTCAGTTGAGCCCATCTTCGTCTGTTTCAGTCAGACCGCTATAAATACGTTATGATCTGATCCACGCGGCCGAGAAACTTGAGTCAGGATAGACGGCAGTTACTCTAATCGAAATAAGTAGACCGACGCTAAGCTTCCCCACAGGCCCGGAGAATTTCTGGTCTGTGAACTATCAGCGGCAGCAAGCTTCAGCCGTTAGTATTCTCAGACAGAGAACTCGAGTAAAAACCGTTCCCGAGTAATGCGCTAATCATTTAGAATTTATGATTTAGGCCGTATATTAGGTTAAGTTGATCTGATTGAAAGTGCAAGCTTTAAGATTTATAATCTTCTTCGAAATTACATTATTTACATGTGTGACAATTAGGCATTGTGCAGTGATACCAGACGCTTATCGGTATCGCCTCGTCCAACTTCGATCTTTTGTTACCATACTGAATTAACGTAATTCCAGAGAATAACGATGCTTAGCAAAAAGTGCCTATTTGTAACAAGCCGTAACAATGCTGCATATCAGAAAACGGAAAGCTTGTCTATAACAGGATAAGCAAAACTATTTCCGTTCGAGCGTTCTCATACGTCATTCTACTAAAATAACTCACGGACCCTTCGTATTATCTTCGCGGGCACACAGGAGTCGCTGGTTTCTAGGCTGGGAACCTTACATGTTTATTATATATCTCATAAAGTGTTCTTCAGATAAATGCAATGTTACTACCGATGATAAATAATGCACAAATCGTCTGACTTATTAAATGTGAACAATTTTAGGATTGGAAGAAAAACTGGGATGAATGAAAATGTGTGAGATTCGAGATTCTGTCGGTGATGAAGACATGGATGTTGGTCTTCTCGCTTGGAGCGCCGTGGGGGCGGCAATTTCGGAAAGACATCCTCAGGGCTTCCTAATTGTTTAAATATTTTAAGCAGTGCATCGCAAAGAATTATTTTCGTGGTCAGTTGCTGAAATGTAATTAAGAAATTTTAGTGTACGTAACTTCTTATCTGTCAGTAAAGAACTAGACACATGAGGAATCGGAAGTGTTACAAGCTACGCGGTTCGGTCTGATGGCGTGTTTTATTTTTAAAGCAGAAGTAACATCAGGTTTTCGCTTAGACGCGCTTCCACGATTTACGATGCAGTCACTAAAAAAGTTGTCTACAGTTCGCTTAACTCTCGGGCTGAGAAAGAATCCCAGACCCTTAGATTTTGCATCGCTGCTCCTTATTCGAGGTTTGCAGCCGCTCCTTATCCTCGTGCATCTGCTACACGTCATATCCTCGTCTGCCTAGGGTCGTATTGTTCCCAGCGTGACATGAAACTGTACCGCGAAGCTTAGCCCGAGCCGTAATTTTCGAAAGTCTCCTGAGAAATGCCTTCACAAATTCTGACTCGAGACAGTTCCGTGGCTGCTGTGGCTGGACGGCAGGGGTTTGATTCCCTCCATCGGCTGGGACTTGTTTCTTCGCCACGCCGTCTTTTTCCTACCCAGCCGCCTGCCCCGATGTACGGGGTTCTTTGATCGACGCCATGCTCTGATCAGTGAATACGAAGCAGTAATGTGTTCATTCTTGTTGGTTCCTTGTCAGTAAACGCTTCGTACTGAAAACTATCAAAGCACAAATTCTCCTTCATGGCTGTACCAATATCGCCGCTAGGATACGATAACTTTAATTAATCATTTAATTAAGGTCTGAGAGCTGATATACGTTTATAGGTCATTACTTATTTCAACACCTTCGTGATAAAATCTCTGCTTCGCAGGCGGTTAAAAATTATGACACTTTCCACTTTCGATTTGCACGTAGTGTGGAGACGGTGCAGAACGTAAACTTAGTATTTGCTTTAGGAGAAATGTGGATATGGTTTATGAGTTTGTTGCTGTCTAAATGTCACGGGTATATCAGACTTTCTTAAAACTGTTACATGGAAACCGTAGGTTTCAACTTGCAACCTCAGTAGACAGATGAAGCAAATCATAATTACAGTGGGGAGGGGGGGGGAGGCATTTATTTTATCCACACCTGGTACAGTAAACAAATTATAAAATTTTAGAGGTAGTCGTCCTGTTGCTGTTGGCCCATATTGTTTCAGTGCTACTTCAGTTTCAATTATTTTACTTGTATTTCTTATTTTTGTATTCATTATGAGCTCTTTACAAAGTGTTCGCGAGGTGACTTCATAATAGGGTTACCGTGTCCGTCCATCTGTCCGAATTTTATGTCTCCGAAATTATTGAATAGACAACTTAACCCATGAAACTGGGTTCTTCTTAAGAAAATGATAGTCACTCGGCTTGTCAAGAATTCCCCCCACCCCCGAATGTTCATTACTTTGTTCACGAGAGCCCGCCACCGGTCCCTGTCCTTGTACTTAGTTTTCTCTGCATTTAGCTGTTCCTAGACCGACCTTCTTACGGCAGTGAACAATTGTACCGAAGTCTTTCAGAAGATAATTAACTAAATGTCCTTCACATCTGTCCATCCAAACTCTGCAAATTATTTTCGATTTGACGGTTTGTATCATCATATTGGATACCGTCTTTATATACGTCGTTGTTACAGAAAGTGAACACTTGCCTTCAGCAGCGTTCTTGTGGACCACAAGTTGAGTACCCGAACTGTATAGTTTCTCACAATTCCTCGCAGATCTCCGTGGGTCAGAAATCCATTCTCGAGCCCTGGTTAATAATTGAGGCTAGGAAGGCGTCTTGATATCGGAGTCCTCTGCCTCGCACTGCTAGCCCCAGCATCAAAGACGGGTCGAGATGTGTGCATTGAGGCAGGTGGTGATCTTCCCCAGCCAGTTTATAGGTCTTCTTGTTTGTTTAAGCAGCTTAAGGCCTTTCACATCTCACAATTACTTTTATAAAAGTATTTTAATTAAATAATATTTAAATGTTAGACCCGGTAAGCAAACTAATAGGCCAACATGTTTCAATCAGTACAATGTAATAAACAATATCTTAATTACACTGTTTTAATGTTTTTGGACCGAGACTAAAATGCGTTCGCCACAGATTTCCTTTTGTTGGTGATATTTCCCGACCAATTAATCGGGCTGCTTGTTTGTTCTTGCAACGGACATGCATTCTGAAGAATTTAAGCGGGTTTAAACGTGTGATTCTAAGTTCGAATTCGTTTTATGCAAATATCTGACGTCTTACAGGTCGGCAGAATCCCTTCACTCAGCAAGTTATTCCGGATTTCTTCCCCTGAAGTTCTAGGGGTTACAGAATATTACCTGCTTGAGTGCTCCCTTCCCGACGTCGGAAGTCACGTCTCAATTACTTTGGCGTGCCCTGAAAGTTATGCAGGTTAACCTCTTGGTTCTCGATTGAAAAAGTTAGAACGGGATTCTGACACATGACTTCAAAACCTTCTTCACGTAACGGAGCACCGTGTCTGTCTGTCTGTGTTTGTCTGTTCATCGTCTTGTTTCATGTCCGAAACTGTTCTGTGGATTCCACTTAAATTTCATATTGTGCTTCTGCACTAAATCTTTTCGAAGAAATTTTATTGCTTTCTATCGGCCCAGTATAACGCCTGCTTTAAAATGCATTCCAATAGACATGTGACACGTTTACATAAAATACTTTCCATTGCACGTCCAAGAATTTGTACATCACGTGAAATACAGAACTCACAAGTTCTGCGACCCTTATTTGAAGAATTTTAACAGTCTAATACGAGACCAGTATTTGTTAAAATAATTCGGTTTTCATCATATTCAGCTTCTTCCAATGTACATCTTAAGGGAATTTCAAAAACGAAAGTGTGGTTCATATTCACTACGACAATGGAACAGTTTGTAATGGAAATTTCAGTCGGTATGAATCCAGACTGGGTGAAAATTAAGTTGAAAAATAGATACCCCAATATTCATGAGACGGTTAATATTAATACAACCCAAAATAATTTACGACTCCGTGCAATTTGGTATGTGCAGTATGAATCAGCTGTGCTGTACTTGCATTGAAACAATATAAAGGCGCCCAAACAGAAAATAAGGGAGTAACGGAAATTTTAATGTGGGGTCTCTGTGTACGAGCATGGAGGAGACAGATTTAGGGTTATGGACAGAAATTTCCTGTAGAAAGCTGTCGAACTGGTCATTTCTCCATTATCTTTTTGTTTAGTGAGGTTTGAGGATCACACGGCGGCGAGTATGAAGATGGTCTTCTGGGTTGTTGCTCCATGTAGTCTGGTAGGTGTTCCCCGACGTTTCGGAAGTGCTTGGCGCTTCTGTTATCAGGGTATTGTCCTGGAGGCTGAGTTACGTTGAGGAAGAATGTTCAGATGGAGCTGGAGACGCGGGGCGATAATAAGTGACAGAGCTGATCTCCGAAGTACGCCAGGCGATACAACACGCGGTCTGCCCGATGCGTTTTGTGTGGCCCGCGTACATTTTTATATTCTGTCATTCTATGTGATATGTGAAATATATAGGCCTTGGGTTATATGGTCTGAATATGAAGGTTAGTACTAGTAAACTGTGTTTACATTCTTACATTTTATTGTTTACAGTACTTAATCATGTGGTCTTTACATGGCTGTTGAAAATGAGCTATACATATTCTACCATTAGTATATAAGTACATGCATAATACTTTGACATATTACAAAAGTGTGGAACGTAAATACAGTTTTAATAATGCCTCATCCCATTTTATCTACAGTTTCTTTGGTACAATGAATGTCGGAAAAGTTACTTATCCCTGAATTAATATCATGATAGCAAGTTGTTAAGAAACACATGTAATACAATAGGTATATTATCTTACAATTTCTTATTAAATTTAACATTTTTCTCGTATGATTTACCTAGATATTGTCAACTTACTTGGTTAAAACACGTGTCGCAGAAGATTCAGAAATTCGCACTTGCTGCTTTGTAAGGCTGTTGTCTGGACGAATTTAAGATGAAGGATACCCTTGTGATCTAGTAAGGACTATCCAGCATTTCCTTTGTGCTCGATGGTAAAATATAGACGAATAGATAACATAGTTGCCTTAGTTTTCTTGTGGGTTAAATTAAGTTCTGCCATCCACTCATTTGGAGGAGGTAACTCTGGTGGTAAATTGGATTTATTAATGTCGTAATTGTCAATATTTATATCAATCTGAAAAAAGAAACAAATGATCGATATGTTGAGACTTAATGAGCTGGATTCGAATTTGTTCCTTAGAGTTTTATACGTATAGTTTATTTTCTAAAATTTTAATTTCTATCCCTCTTATCTCAACATACGTATTACTACTTGCATATTTAAACTGTGTTTTCTTCCTTATTAGTCATGCTAGAACTTGCCGAAGGACTCAGTAGTTAAACTATGTTAATTACAAAACTAAAATGGTTCTTAAAGTTTATTAAAGATAAGACTTGTTAATAATACTTGTATATTGTAAAAACCATGTACCCAAATCTGTTAAAAATATTCGGAATATGTACGTAAATCTCTGTCTGTTAAGTAAAGTAGCAAGTATATATGATCCAAATTGAATCAGAGTCACAGTACTTCGTCAAAATTTAGTGTAGTTCCGATATATCGTGTTTGGTGGAAGTATATGAAATAATTAGAACCCGCTGCTTGTGAATTCACGTGGTAGACACTGAAGTGAAGGTGTCATGGAGACATACCCGGTTATTGTGGTTGTACGATGTTCCGGCAAACGCGGCAGTGCAGGTCACAAGCAACAGAGCTTGTTTGGGCTTGAGGAAGAAGGTCATTAGGGCGAGTTGAGTTCTTACCTTGCCGACGCGATGCTGAAAAAATCATACCGACCGTCGCGACGCCCAGACACAAATTAACCCAACCTAAATTAATATAATCTAACGTAACCTAACCTAACCCAATCTAACCAGTTCAAAAACAACTCGATTTAAACCAACCCAACATAACCCATCCTAACCTATCCAAACAAAATCCAAACTAACCCAACCGAAGCTAGAGACACACAACACGATGATGGAAAACCGACGCCGAGCGTTGTGACGTCAACAGTAGAATCCGAATGAAGCAATGCCCTGAGTCTGTTACAGTGGGAAGGAAAAATGGCGTTCTCTATTCGCCGGACCTGGAAGTATTATTATGATGCTTGTCATCCAAACGTCCTGTAAAAGTGTTGATCGAAGTCTTGGTGTGTCACGGTGTTTATGTGATAATCGTGTTCTGTTTTATCGATTTACCTGCTAATCAAAGAAATTGTAATCCTCGTTCTCCATTTCCCTGAACATTGATATTACTAATTTCCCTCGAATTTAGGCAACTCGATATGTGGATCTGTCCCCGGAATTTGTAACTTGTTCACCATCAGCATATTTACCTTTTTAAGGGGGCATTTTCTCGGAAGGCCGGTGCACCTGCTAATTTCTGCGTATACTAGATCGTCGGCTGCAATGAAATTACAGAGGCTGGTCTCGGGTAGAGCTATAGGCCCTTTTCCGTAATTGCCGCCCCCAATCTTCTGGTATGTTTCCATGACGACCTGAAAATAATATAAATTAAGTAAAATTACATGATATGTGAAACAGAATAAAATATTTACCTGGACAGTATGTGGCTGCTCCTCAATTTCTAGTTTTCCGTGGAATTTTATACCGTTAGTGTTACAAATATAAAAAAAACATACATTTGGAATTTAATTTTTTAGGGTAGTTTATTGTGCGCTTATGCTCGTAGCAGGTTGTTCACAAGTGCCTGTTAAATAGAACTTGCAGCACATTATATATATATATATATATATGAGGATGGCGTTATATGGTCTCAGTGACGCCGTAGTGAATAATTTAATGGAATTAGTCCCCGAATAAAGTTGTGTAGACGGTTTTATCATTGATATTTGATTAATTACGCAACAGGATGCAACTATTAGAAAAGGAATATCAAACATACATGCCACTTGATAATTTTAAGAGTTTTAGCAACATGGTACCTTATATAATATATTTAAAACCACTATAAAGTGTTATTTTTGCTCGCCATGTTTTAAGATCTCTAAAGTTTGCACTATAAATAAATACTTGCACAGAATTCCTTAATTAATGTCATGTAGTCGAATAGTCATATGTTATAGTCTTCGTCGTGTCCTTGGCGTATTTGTCACGAATTTTGGTCTGTTCTGTCATGTACGATGAGTTGTAGAATTGCATTGTACTATCGCTTCACAGCATGATAACCTTTACTTTATGTGAAATCTTTATAATATTCTGAATTGCATTTGTCTTTGTGTTTTGTAATGTTATGACTTATTCCACATCCTATCGTCACCGTGACTAACTTTTGGATCGAAAGTACGGCCGACCCTGGAGGAGGGGGTATCGACCTTTGGGAGGCCCTTCAAGTAGCTTATAATTTTCTACATTAAATTTGTTACTTTAAATTCTCTTCAAATTAAATGTCTAACTTGGGCGATTACTGTGTTTTTTTTTCATACAGAGTGATACAGTAATACAAAGACGTAGACCATATACTTATCGTCGGGCGCTGGTGGAGTCCCCACGTACTGTATGATCCTGTTCTGTTAATTGTATGTCACGTTGTTTTAAACAGGCTGTACCCTAGTAACGTAATAATCGAATATGATATACTTACCGTTGTGTCTTCTGGAATATCTTGCAAGAATGAGAAAGTACCTTTGAGGACCGACATTGTTCTGTTAAATTTTGCAGCTTTCAGACTTTTGAATGATACATATTTTCCATCCCCATAAGGTTTGTCCACCCTCGTCACTTGAAGTACGTAGTTGCGCTACAAGCAGATGAATAAAAAGATTATTATCAATAGTAATACAGTGTCAGTTGTAGGAGATAGAGCAGAAGTAGTAATAATATTAGAAGTGGTAGTAGTCATCACACTGCCAGATTGAGAACTCGTTATTCAATGCATCAAAATTCTGGTTTAGCTTTCTTTCAGCCCCAGACGGAAGTTCAGTTTCAAATTCACCATTAAGGGACAGTGACAGTTTCTACACATTCTTCTCTGAGATAGTACGAATGGGGAATATGATACGTGCGTATGAAATGTCTTTATAGGCTTGTGTTGGGCAAGGCCGTGGTCTAGGCAAAACGGAGTTTTCCTCCGGGGGCTTCCCCGGTTTCTCCGTGGCATCCCAACAACTACTCCATTCACACACAGAAGAAGGCAAGGGCAAACCACTTCTGGATCATCTGCCAAGAACGTATATGAACAGGTCCCAGTCCGAGAAAAGGATGGAAGGATCCTGTTCATATGGACCTGTCGTCAGAAAGAACACTACATAAAAAATAAAAAGGAGTACGTCCTTTCTTACCTTCTTAGGCGCAGTTTCCACATATATTATTAGGCACGTTGCTATCACAAATACGAGAGTGCTAGTGACAAGGCGTCCTACACTCATGTTTCCGTTTGCTTCCGAGGGTGTTCACGCAGTAAACAGACTGAAACTAACCAAACGGTGGTTAAAATTGTGAATTTATATATTATGGTAATTGTGCACTTGTCGTTTTGTGAATTTTCCATATGACTATTCAGAAAATATAAGGATAAAAATTCAGTGTTCGTGATCACCATGCGTGTCAGTGAAAGGCATCCTTCTTTGTGTTCGGCACAAAAGCATACAGAATGCAAGTTTAATCAGATATCATTTCGGATGACATAATATAAGCGGGGAAGAGGGGTGAAGGAAACGTATAGGCAATGTTTGATTTCTAGGTCTTTCCGTGAGAGCCTGAAGATGCCACTTTATCACGAGGGAAAGTAAGAAGTTGAAGATTATTTTAACTTACATGTTGGCAGCACTGAAGGATTAGAAAGATCGCTCATATAACACTTATAGAGGCTCTGTTATTTGTACCTTGTCAGTTTTCGTTGTCTTATTGGTAGTAATAATGTAAAAAACATTTTCAATGGCTACTCCATTAGTAGAATGCACCAAAGAAAAACAGTGATCAGTATGAAGTTATTGAAATCAGTTGAAGAATGAAATTTCAGCGAAAGGAAAATTTATGAATGGGTTGAAAGATTTAAGGGCGGTGTTGATAAAGTGCGGTATGAGCGACAATCAACTGTAATATTGTTGAACTTCTTAAAAATGTCAGCGTATGCAAGGCAATCAAAGAACTGACAGTTGTGAAACAGAATCTGAAATGATCATCAGTTATGGAAGAATCTCAAACTTCCCAATTTAATGGAAAAGGTACAGTGTACAAAAATGAATTCAGGATACACAATATAAGTTTAGATATCATTAAGACTTAAATTGCTTTCAAACATTTTTCATTAATGCAGAACGAATTAAAATAGTGTATAACGCTGTTCAACACAAGGTTTTGATGTTTGCAGTATATAGCGTCAAATCCAATGTGACGTAAAAATTACTTTTGGAAAATATGCGTTGCTCGTTTGAGTTTACCTTTCTACAGTTGTAACACAGGGTGCCCCAAAAAAATATATATATACATAATGCTGACATGTTTGTGTACTTCTTTTTGGGACAACCTATATATATGACTTTTCATGGTATAGTTTCGAAGCTGCTTGGATGGAAACACAATTGTTACACAGTCACACAGGAAATGCTAAAAAAAAATCTCAGTATTTGAATTGACATTTTAAAAGTGATCTGATTACATTACAACATTTTCATGTTGTAACCGTATACATCGTTTAATTTTACATTGTTAAATTCGTACATATTCGGAAGTTCGTAAAATAAGGCTCACTAACTGTATAACTCACGTTACACACTTGTTATTGTATTTTACAAAACGGATGTCCTGTTCTGTAAAAAACAACTTATTAACAAATATTGCAACGTTCATGCCAGAACTACATGCCGTGCAATTAAGAATCTAGTTCTCCGAAATACTGAATAAGCATGCTCAGTTCGACACGCTGGGCAACTACAAGCTACATAGAGCTAAAGGTGATGTTGCTCAGGCGGTCAATAAGTTCCCTGACCTTCATGGAGCCAGAAGTCTCATTGCCGTGTTCACAAAATCCCGCAACCGGACTGTATCTTGAGCCGGTTAAATCCACTCCACACCATGTTTCTTTAAGATGTTATAATATTATCCTGTCATTTACGCCTATGCTTCCCAAGTGACATCTTCTAAGCAGGTTTCATGGGCCAATTTTGTTTCTCCCATTAATGTTACATAACCCTAATTGTATTAATGAATAATACGGACTGTGATTATATTATAACCATACACACAATAAATTGTCTGTTGATACTAATTGGATATGGGCTTCTTTATTGTCATGTTTTAACCCTGGGAAACCAGTAGGCCCAGAGTTGATTTGGACATGTGGCAGGAATCAAACTCTGGTCACTGAGCCCATAACCTAGTCATCATACTGTCTGTGTTACCTCAGCTATAGTGGAATATTTCATACGAAGAAATTGTATAACTTCAGTTAATTGACAGAAAATAGGTTACATTCCTGAGATTTCAGCCCCACCCCCATCCTGATATCAACATACAGTTGATGTAAATATGGTACAAAAATAATTGTTATCACTTAGTTCATATTTGTCTGCAATATGTAGTGTTCTATTTAAATTTGCTTGTAAATAAGGACAGGCAGTAACAAATATTGTCTTATGTATGATTTGCAAGTGGCCACAAACTGCCTTCAGAACAATAACAGTGAGAAATTGTCAATGTCTTAGAGATCTGCTTGCTGTGATCAAATGGCTTAGAGCAGTTTTGGGAACTGTTGACCTGTACCTGCCCGAAGTGTATGTGCAGACCATCTGGATAAAAGACATTGCAGAAGACTGATGGCTACCCCCCACGACCCCAACTTTGAACTTTACAACATTTATCACTGTAACTTTTGCAATTGTTTGTCCAGTTTTGTAAGTCATATCTTAAGAAAATTCAATTAATGATTTTAATGAGAAGTTCTGGGATTGATTGTAAGAAGGTACACCCTTTGCCTTGTCTAATGTGTATAACATTATATGGTGGCCACGAAGCTGTGGCTGCTCTGGAATCTTAGTTGAATCCACTCTTACAAACCTACATGCATAAAGGAATTTCCTGATGGTTGCATATCAGTGTCGAGTGTTGAGCATTGTGATACCACTGAGCATAAATATCAGGTGATCGTTGTCCAAATATTTTTAATGTCAAAATTTGGTGTCTGTAACTCTCATTGTTTATCCAGAATTTCTGGAAGGAATAAGAACCTTTAATTCCCCCCCCCCAATCTACAGCTGCTTCATGATGTCATTAATAAACACCCATCACTGAGAGTTTAGGATATGTCAAACATTTTTCCAGAAAAATATTGCTGACTCTGACTTTGTGCTGGATGTACTTTATAAAAAGATTGGTTCACAAACAATATTAAACCACTTTCCACACAATTTTTTTAGAAACACGTTCACTCCAGCATCTCTCTTACACTTTGGTATCACTGACAAAAATTTGCTGACTGTAACATGTGATATGTCTGACATGTCCAGAGTTGCCTTCTGACAAAATTTTCAGAATTACCTGCCCTGAGAATTACAATATAGGCAGAGGGTATTTTTATTTTTCAAACTTTCATAACAATGCTGAGATGAAGGAACTTTTTACATCAGTCAGAAGATGAAGCAGCCCTCTTATTTATGTGCATGGAGTATCCCTGATGCTTGTAGTTATTTCCATGAGCAAGAATGAAATCTAAATTGCTTGCATATATATAAAAATATGTTTTCAAGATACTGGCTTCTCAGTAACTCTGGTCTTAATTTCAGCCTCTTAAAATTTTCTTATAACAATTTTTCTGAAAAATGTTTTATATCACACATTCAAAGGATAATCAAGGTTGATTAAAACAAGCTGAATAAATGAATGAATATATTTATTTGTCAAAATGTACAGGTCATTTTACTTCCTTCACTTGCAGACCTGGGAAGAGAGAGAAAATATCATTACACCAGCATGACACTGTTGTTCAATTCAACCGTTTAAATGCATATGTAGTGGGATAATTAAATCCATATTGCCTGGCAAAGGCGACTCAAAGAATCTTCAGAGTAATTACACTGTACAACATAAAAGTTATTTTTCTACATAGTATCTGTGGAGACTAATTAGATACTCAAACAGTCATATTATTTGAGCTCAAATTTTACTGCTGTTTCTACCACATGTTTAGTTATCTCTGTATTTACTTTTAGGTTAACTAGCATCTAATAGAGCTTCTGTATTTATTTTTCTTTATGCCATTTAACCTTCAGCAATCAGAAGCAAATACTTCAAATAAAGGCAACTCACCAGGTGGCAGAGACTGTTTCAGTTTTTCTGCCTTTTCTTTGTCTGTGATAACCAGTGTGTAGAGAAACCTCGAACAGCGGACCTTAAACTTTACATTCTCAGCATTCTTCTTAATCTTTACAGCTGCAATTAAAGAGTTAGTGATCAATAATAAAACCAATACCAAAGAAGACTGTGGAGGTATAACCTGTGTCAGTTACCTTATGTCTTGGAAGTTTTAGTTACATTTCTAATTCAATATACAGTGGACATGATCATAACATGGTATCAAATGGTAAACCAGTAGCAAGGCAGAATGTCATTTACATGTAGTGTAAACCTAGCACTACAAGTCTCAACATTTTATGAGCATAAACTAAAATGACATTGACCTGTAATATAACATCGAAACTCTTTAATTAAAGTACGTACTTACATTTAGCATCTTTCCTTCTTGCTTTCAGGAGAAAGTCCTTGATTTCTTTAATTTCACGTGGCTGTAAGAAAAATGCCTTTAAGTGACCATGCATAAAAACGCCAAGCTTTAACCAACCTATTAACCCTTTAAGGCACAGTGGTACCTACATGTACCACGTGCTTTAACATTTTCGAACTTGTTTTGACAAAATCATTGTTTGTAAGCGAAAAATATGTTTCCCTTCAGGAAGAACCTGAAGTTTAAAATATTGGTTCACATGGTTAAGTTACATACCACTACTTGACATAATTTACAAGATCGCATGCAAAATGAACTGATGCTTACCATTTTTATATTTACTCAAAGGCAAGAATGAAAGAAATGTACTGCCAAGTTTCCTTCTGAAAATAGAAAACAGATTAATTAAGCTAACCAGCAAAGAGTAGTACATCATGGAATACAATTTTCATAACATTTAATAACCCGATTATATGGATAAATACTGATACTTGAATGCAAAACTCAATACAATTCCGGGCAGGAAAATACTTACAACCAGCAAGAACCTTACAGATTCATTAACAATTCTACCAACATAAAATCGTACACAAACAACAGCACGGTCAGGCACATTACATTGACCCCCTAGACAAATGTAAGTGGAAAGTTGGCGACGGTGCTGTTGCTAAGTGTAATATGTTGGCAGCTTTCGATCAATTGACCCAATAACAAAGTTGCTATGTAGGAACGAATCATATGGCAGGTATTGTGTGTACTCTTTGGTGGGGAGTAAATAATGTTTGATTTTGTGTTCTGTTTTTTTAAGTGTTGACAGTAGCTCATAACAATTAGGATGTGTTTCTCTGCTTGTAGATACTAGCAGTATTGCTGTCGAAAAAA